TGGGAATAAAATTTCTCCCCGACAAAGAAACAGGTTTCTGAGTGTGCTATGATGGACTGGCATCGCGACGGGGCCAGCGGTCCAGCGAGTGGAGGCTGGTCCGGGCGAGCCGGGACGTGTCAGGCGAATGGTTCTCACACCTCAGGCGCGGGATCACAAAACCCATTTGCCGTAGAGCGGGCCATCCTCCCCGCCGGGCCTCAAGGAGCAGCACCTTGGCCATACTGACCATCCCACGCACAGGTTAGGCAGGCGGGGCGCGCGGCCGCCCGCCCCGGGGCCGGGATCACGGAATCTAAGAGAGAGAGAGGGAGTGAGAGGAGAGTGGGAGAGAGAGAGAGAGAGTTGGAGAGTGAGAGGAGAGTGGGAGAGAGAGAGAGAGAGAGAGAGAGAGAGTGAGAGGGTGGGGGGGAGTGAGAGAGAGGGAGGAGGCCGGACTCCATTCCCCTTCTCGAGTTGGTGCGAGGACCTCGGCGTGCTCTCTGTCCGCGGCCGGTGACGCCGAGCAGAGGACGGCCGTTGCGGCAGTCAAAGGGCTGTTGGTGTGGCTGCAGTCGGTCGGGGCGGGGGGATCGGGGTGTGGCCGTGGTGTGTGGTGTGATCGGAAGCGAAAGAAAAGGGGGCCCGCTCTCCTCGGATGAGGTCACGTTTCCGGGCGGCTCCGAGCGTGACGACGAACACACGACGAATTAGTCTTGTTATCGAGGCCGGGAGGCAGGCCGCGCCGCGCTGCTCCGGGAGGGGCTCGTCATTGGGTGGGCTATGGCCGCCGGAGGAGGGTGGCGGCGCGTGCTGGGAGGACGGAGGACACGACCATCAGTAGCGTGCTGCAGGCCACGGAATCTAGGCCGGCGAGGCAGAGCTGAGCTTGCCAGTGTGGCCTGCTTGCTTACACGGCAGCTGGACACTTGGTTGTGGGGGAGGAGGAAGGAGCTCCTGTCCGGTCACATCCGCACTCTGCTCACCACTGCTCACTCCCATATTGGCACCCAGTCCAACAGCTCTCCCTCTCTCTCTCTCTCTCTCTCTCTCTCTCTCTCTCTCTCTCTCTCTCTCTCTCTCTCAGTCCGTCCGTCCCCCCGATGACGTGTCGGCCCCGTTTAGCGGCGCGGCCGTGCGCGCTACACTCGCTGCACAAACTACATCGCGACGACATCCGGCCGCCAAGGCTCGAACTTTCGAGCCTTGCGACTGACTGAATGCGACTGCCCGAGCAGTCGCGTGCCCGACTGCCGGGCTCCTGGGCGGCCCAGTCGGGCGCGACTGCCATTCAGTCGGAGTGACTGCCGTTCAGTCGCCTGCGACTGCCGGCTCAGGGCGTGGCATAGAGTAGCGCAGTGCCACTTCAGCCTCGAATGTAGGCAACCCGACCAACTTCCCCCCACCATGGCAACCCGCTCGCTCTCTGGCCAGTCGGTGCCCGACTGACGGTAGTCGCGTCAGTCAGTCGGAACCCCCGAAAGTTCGAGCCTTGCCGGCCGCACATCCGCCCCGCCCCACCCTCGGGCGAGCTACAGCACGGCCTTGCGGAGAGAGAGAGAGGGAGAGAGAGAGAGAGAGAGAGAGAGAGGGAGAGAGAGAGAGAGAGAGAGAGAGACATCACCTGGTCGGCTCTCCGATGCTCCCCACGTAACCTCATCAGCCGCGAGGGGCCGTCTGGTCGACCAACCACCCCAGTCCCGTTGAGAGCGAGAGAGGAGAGAGAGAGAGAGAGAGAGAGAGAGAGGACGAGGCCGTGGCCGTCGCTCTCCTGCTCCTCCTGAGACCGCCGCCCGCCGCACCCCCCACGGGTGCGAGGGAGACAGCAGATAGCCCGCGCACAGCCGACTTGTCGACGTGGTACGTCTCGCATCACAAGTCCTTTGCTTGTGCTGTGCTCGGGCCAGACGTGCGAATTTGCTTCAAGATTGAATACAGGCCGAGTTGTCGTGTGGTAGTGAATATGCGATCAGCCACTACTCGTGCATTAGTCTCTCTCTCTCCCATCCTAGCGTAGCTTGCTATTTGTTCTCTTTAATGTTTCATAATTGAGAGTAAAAGCTGCTGGTAAGTCTTGGTAAGGTTCTTGGTGAAGGGATCATCTGCTAAGAACTCTTGCATTTATTACCGCCACTGTGCATGCCGGCCTGCCCTAGACCTGTTCCTCCTCCACACCGTCACACATACTGCACAGCACCTCGGCCCCGGGCAGCACCCGCCGCACCTCGGCGCGCTGCTCCCTGCAGGCGGCTCGCTCGTGGCTGCACACGATGTCCCTCCGCAGCACGAGCCTCCTGAGCGCCCGCAGCCCGCTCTGCTGCAGCAGCGAGTGCAGGTCGCCGCAGCTGGCTGGCCACCGTCTACTCCCCGCCGTGCCCACGTACAGCACCAGCTCCTCCAGCGTGCCGCCGTGCGCCCGCAGCAGGGACTGTGCCGTGGCGCGGGGGAGGCGATGCACCCAGAGCCACTGCAGGCCGGCGTGTCCCGGCGGCAGCGCGGGCAGCTCGGGGGGCTGGGCGAGCAGGGCATCATCACCCACCACGTGCAGCCTCCTCAGCCGCGGCATGGCGTGCACCGCGCGCAGGTGGGCCTCGCGGGGGCAGATCACACGCAGCCGCTCCAGCGTGGGCGCGGCGCGCTGCAGCAGCTGGAGGCTCCAGGCGGGGTCCTTGTCGCACCGCACACTGACCAGCCGGGTCACCTGCGGCAGAACAGAGTCACTCTCAGGGGCTGTCAGCGGGCCGCAGTCTGAGTCAGGGCGGCGCGAGAGACTGAGCCACCGCGAGCGTCCCTGGCTGCCGCTGAGCTCCGCCGCTCCTCGGTCGCGGCCGCCCGCGAGGCTGGTCGCCGTGGTCCGGCCGCACACTCACCCCCGGCGCTGCTGCGAGGAGGGCCGCCTTGTCCTGCTGCCGCTCATTTGGTCCGGTGAGGCTGACAGCACACACATCCATCTCCCGCACCGGCCGCGTCTCTGGAGGTGCTGGGCCCGGGGCTGCGGGCGGGGGGCTCGCGGCGGCAGGCGGGGGACCCGGCGCTTCAACCCGGCTCTGCAACAGCAGCAAGTATGGAAGAGATGCTTAAAAGAAAAGGTTTCAAACAGATCTTGCTCTATGAAGGTTTTCGCGTACGGAAGGTTTAATTGCTAATTCTGAAAAGTTTGCGTGGTTTTCTTTGTTCTGCATCGTTTGGTACCTGCATGTACCAGGTGGCTGATAAACCCCTCACCTCCTTGTAGTCACTCTGTACACCACATGCCGTCGTGTGGGTAGGTATGCCCGTCGTCACTGACCTCGGCCCCTTAGAGTCCTGAGCCGCCGGGCGACCCCGCCTGCACGTTTGCACGCCGTGTAGTGTAACTACATCAAGTGCGCGGGTAGGCCTGCACTACTAGGAACTAGAAAAGTTTGTCTGTGCGACATTGTGTTGATGGTTAACCATGCAATCACAATCGCAAATTAAACGCACATGTTTGTTCGCCGAAATACACATTTGTGTGAACCTTGTGGTGCGGTGTACTGGAGTAGCCGCGTACCTTTGTGAGGCCGGCCTTCGCGGCCACGAGCAGCCACATGAGCTGGGTGAGGGGGTCCTCCGTGTTCCCAACGTTGCCCGTCAGCTCGTGTTCCTCTCCCTGCAGGGTCAAGCTCCAGGACTTTGTAGTCAGCAGGGTGAGGGCCTGAACGGCCTGCTCCCCCTGGCAGAGGTCCGGCAGGCCTTCCAGCTGGCCAGGCGCCTGCTGCAGCGCGCTCTGCATGTGGCGCCTCAGGGCCCTCCTCTCGGGCAGGACGTCGTGGTCCTTATCCCAGCAGCGGGGCGAGGCGGGCGCGAGGCAGTCCGAACACCAGCCGCGGGGGGGCCTGTCAGCGGACGCTTCAAGTCAGTCATCTTAAAGGCTAGGCAGCGCTATCGGAGGAGCGTGCTGACAGAACTATACAGTCAGGCTGAGATTGGTCGTACATTAGTTGCTCACCTGTCTGGGCGGACTATGAGCCGTAGCAGAGCGAAGTTATTGGGTAGTGCATCTGGGGGGACATCGAAGACCTGGGAATGAAATCTGTTTTAGAATCGTGGGGAGTCACGCATGGTCACACGATAGCCATTCCGGTTCAGTTGAAATTGTATAGACCAAGGAGTCCACGTTGCCTGCCGGACTCACCCTGCGGCACGTCGGGCACTCCTTCCTGCCGCTCCGCTGCAGGCACCGCAGACACACGGTGTGCGCGCACGGCATGTTCTTGGGCACCCGCTCAACCTGGTTGTAGTCCTCGGTGCAGATTTCGCACTCCATGATGGCCGGTGTTATTATGCTGGTGCTTGCGAGTCGCGCTGTGTCCGACTGAGCGTCCTGCCGCGGTCCGCGACTGATAGCGACTGATAGCGATGCGCTGATACGCGGACCGCCTCGCCAGACGCGCACTGCTGAAGGCAGGGCCCAGGTATTCCCCGCGTCGTGTTCGATAGGCTTACCGCGTCACGCGCGTCGCCAAAATAACTTGGCGATGACATCGTTGTGTCGCAGTGGAGCCAAGGCATAACCCTAAAAGTGTGGGACAAGAATCTGTGGGCTGTAAGGCCCTCGAGGCCTAGTTATATATAGCAAGAGAGTGTTAAGCCGAAAATCGTCTCCTTGACCCTACGTAATTTCCTTGAAATGAGCCTTGAATCAAGAAAATCGACCTGAAATGAACATAGGGAAATTTTCTTTCTTTTTGGAAAAAAACTTACCCTAATTTGAGGAAAAGTCTTAAACTCAAGGAATTTTTGTAGTTTAGCCCCCAGAAATGTCTTTGGAACAAGCTTACAATTGCGTGATGTTTTTTCAAGGAAATGATTTTCTGGGTGAGCAGCAACATTACATTAGTGCACTGCAAAACTGCCTGCGATGATCAAGCCCGGAATGCAAACTGCAATCTTTGTATAACTTATGAAGAATCTGCAAGCATTGTAGTACAAACTAGTTCTTCCTTACATTACGAAATAAAATTGTGTAAAAAGGATGCCGGCAGGAAAAAAGAACATAGTTTAAGAAATGTAGTAAACTTGCATTTATTAATAATATCACGTAATAAAGTAGTGTAGAGTTATTGCCCTGCCCCTCTTTTCTTCATTACATTTATCCCCGGTCGAACTGCCACGTGAAAAACAACTGTTCCCTCTGCACACACCAGTGTGCACGCCGAACCCACGCCTCTACGGCTCTTCCAGGTCCACGCCGTCACACTCCTCGCACAGCACCCCGGTCCCGGGCAGCACCCGCCGCACCTCGGCGCGCTGCTGGCTGCAGGCGGCTGGCTCGTGGCTAGCGCCCCATTGCACCTTCCTCCTCAGCACGATCCTCCTGAGCGCCCGCAGCCCGCTCTGCTGCAGCAGCGAGTGAAGGTCGCCGCAGCTCTCTGGCCACGCATTGCTCCCCGCCGTGCCCACGTACAGCCACAGCTCCTCCAGCGTGCCGCCGTGGGCCCACAGCAGGGACTGTGTCGTGGCGCGCGGGAGGTTGTTCACCATGAGCCACTGCAGGCCGGCGTGCCCCGGCGGGAACGCGGGCACCACGGGTGGCTGGGCGTCCACGAGCAGGGCATCGTCACCCCACACGGACAGCCTCCTCAGCCGCGGCATGGCGTGCACCGCGCGCAGGTGGGCCTCGAGGGCGCGGCATAGGCTCAGCCGCTCCACCGTGGGCGCGGCGTTCTGCAGCAGCTGGAGGCTCCAGGCGGGGTGCCCGTCGCACCACACACCGAGCAGCCGGGTCACCTGCGGCAGAACAGAGCCACTCTCATTGGGCTGTCAGCGGGCTGCCGTCTGAGCCTTGGGCGCGCCGGGCCGGGCAGGCTGAGCCACAGCGAGATGCCAACGCCTGCCTCTGAGTGCCGCTCCTCGGCCACGTGCCGCTTGCTAAAGGCTGGTCGCCGTACGGTGTCCGGCCGCACCCTCACTCACCCCTGGCACTTGTGCAAGGAGGTCCGCTCTGCAGTTCTGCCGGGTGGGGGGGTCGGTCGTGCTAACAGCTGTCGCATTCATCTCCCGCACCGGCCGCGCCTCTGGAGGCGCTGGGCCCGGGGCTGGGCCCGGGGCTGCGGGCGGCGGACCCCGCGCCTCGACCCGACTCTGCAACAGCAGAAAGTTATGGGGTATTACTAATTCAGTTCTCGGTAAAAGTACGATGTCACAACAATGTGAAAATGTCAAATACAGGTGTGCACTGCGTCCACAAAGGAGTAACGGATTTACCCTACCCTTAATTAATACAAAATATTGTTTAGGGTCATTTACAAACTGAGATACCTCTGGAACCTTGGCTGGACGTTAATTAAATGATAAGTCTTAACGGAAAACTTGCACTACTGGTTAAGTTTTTTTTTCTTTTGCAAAATTATCGATTTTTTCTTGCGATTTTCTTTGTGGCAACTACACGTTAAAAACAAAGCTCTGACTTTTTGAGGAAAACGGGAAAACTTCGAGTAACTCCCATATTTGAGGATAAATTCTTCGAATTTTGAGGAGATCCTCTCCAAAAGTAAGGCGCTTTTTCCCAAATATGAGAGTTCCTCATGGCTCTTCCTTTCCTTTCAAATAATCAGACATCGTTTTTGCCGTGTAATTCTTGTCTTAAGTGCCACAGCGAATTTCTTAATTATCAATTAGCAATTAATTGATTATCACAAAATTACTAATCCTTTTTTTCGCCGTGCGGTGTATTCTAGTCGCCTCGCCTCATACCTCGGTTAGAGCAGCCTTTCTGGCCACGAGCAGCCACATGAGCTGGGTGAGGGGGTCCTCCGTGTTTCTCACGTTGCCCGTCAGCTCTTGGGCGCCGCTCTGCAGCGTCAAGCACCAGGAGTCTGCAGCTAGTAGGGTGAGGGCCTGGACGACCTGCTCCCCCTGGCAGTTATCTGGAAGATCTTCCAGCTGCCCAGGCGCACGCTGCAACGCGCCCTGAAGGTAGCGCCTCAGAGCCCTCCTCTCGGGCAGGACGTCGTGGTCCGCATCCCAGCAGCGGGGCGCGGCGGAGGCGCGGCAGTCCGAGCACCAGCTGCGAGGGGGCCTATCAAGGAGCAGGCTGCTGGTTAGATACCACCTCCCTCTGGCGCTTACAAGCGTACAGTAAGCGCTTTCACTATGTAAAAACTATCTGACTTTCTCGAGGAAAAGGGAAAAGCTATGTCTAAGGAATACTCCTTAGGTTTACCAATAACATTATTTGAGAAGCCTTCCTCAAAATCTGAGGATTTATTTCCTTAAAGTGTCCCCCTTTTCCTCAAAGTCAGACGTTGTTACTGTGCACCATGACTCACTGCACTCACTACAGCAGGGCGGGGCTGAGAATGGTCCCAGAGATAAGGTGCTCACCTTTCTGGGCGCTCCATCAGCCCTAGGAGGTGGAAGTTATTGGGTAGTGCATGCGGCGGAACATCGAAGACCTGTGGGAATAAAAAACTGTTTTTGGATACGAAGCGAGCCACACAAAAGACGGTTCGTTTGGAAATGTAGATCGGTACAGTTCACTACTTTCCCTGTCGGGCTCACCCTGCGGCACGTCGGGCACTCCTTCCTGCTGCTCTGCTCTAGGCACCGCAGACACACGGTGTGCCCGCACGGCACCATCTTGGGCACGCGCTCCACCTGGTTGTAGTCCTCGAGGCAGATGTCGCACTCCATGGCGGCTGCGTTGCTGGTGGAGGGCTGGTCCTGCAGGCGGCAAAGTCGCTCTGCTGTGTCCGACTGGGCGTCCTGCCGCGACGATGGCGATAGCGACTTGCCAATTCAAAGCCACGCTCAGCGAGCGGCCCGCTCTCGGCAGTCGCTGGTGGTGTAGGCCGCGCCCCGCGAACGAAAGCGACTGATAGCGACACGAAGAGCCTCGCTTGCCCCGTACTCAAGGAAAGGTATTCCCCGCGTCTTGTTTCGTTGCGCTGCGCGCGCGTCGCCAAAATACAGAGAATGAGAATTTTTCCTATAACACGGCAAAATTTAGTCGCAAGTGCAGTGTGTTGTGATTACAGTGTCGAGCTGCGTGACGCTCGGGCCGACGGTTGGCTCGTTCCCCAAAGTCAATTAAATTAAATGTGTAGCGGAGTTGTTTGTGTCCGCCGCAGCATAGGGCATCGTGTGGACAACCCCGCCTATGGTATGGTCTATGGTTGCAATGCGCAAGAAAATCAGGAAAATGTCAGGATTTTCAATTGTTAGTAAAAAGAGAAAATAACTTCAAAATTTTCAAACATCACAAAAATAAGGGAAAATGTCTGGATTTTCAAATGCTGCCGCAGGAAAATCGCGGACGCCGCTCATCCGAGCATACCCTTTCGCGGTCCCTAAGTGAATGCACAGGTCACCCGCTGCCTCAGCCCGGTCCCCCTCGCACTCTGACCTGCGGCGGACGCGCGACGCCCAGCTCTCCCTCCCCTACCCCCGACCCCTCTACGGGGCTGGGGCTCGAGCCGGCCAAAGGCCTGGAGGAGAACCTCATTGGGACACGCCACGTTGCCGGCAGAGACTTGATTTGCATTGCAAATCTGCAAGGGGAGGAGGGAGAGAGAGAGCAGGAGGGGCGGATTTAGATGAGATAGTAAGAGGTGGGGGAGAGATGATGGAGGAGTGGGATGCGGGACAGAGAGAGAGGAGAGAGAGGGAGTGGTTGGTCTGTCGGCGGTGCACTCCAGCCCGACCACTATTCAGTGGCGCCCTATGATGTGGCGCGCCGCCCGGCTAGGCTGTGTGGTCCCCTGCCAAGTCTGTCGGGGCTGACGGCGGCCTTCTCGGCCTGCGCCATGGCGAGCCGACAGACCCGCAGCAGCCCGGCTTCATAGCTATGTCACTGTGAAGTTAGCAATGTCGGTTAAAAAATTACCAACGTCGCCGAAAATTTTGCTATATTCAAAAAGAAAATTGCCATTTCGCTAAAAATTTAGCTTTTTTCTGTAAAAAATGATATTGCTACTTTGCTTTCAAAAAAATTGCGATGTCCCTGAAAATGTTACTTGAGAGCTATAAACATAGCTATCATTTTTTGGTATTCATCAAAACGTTTAGCGGCTTCTATGAAAGCTATAGCTAGTTATAATACTATAACTAAATGGCTAATTGTTTTAGCTATTTATTAAATAATCCGTTGGATGCGGTGGATGTGGTGAAGTCGGAGCGAAGGGAATATTGCTCCCGCTGTGGACACGACGGCGACGGAAGACGGCGTCCTCCAAGGGTGCCGGCCGAGAGCAAAACACTCGCCATGGTTATTAACTTTAACCATCAAGGATTTAAATTTAAATTTTAAAATTGCGCGCGCCGCGCGTTTTGGTACCGCCCGACGTGACCGACCTACTTATTTACCCC